TCGGTGAACTCTGGGAGGCGAGACCTTTTCAAGCCTTGCTCGAGACTTGCTTTCTTTACTCTCTCCTTCATGACTGCGGGGTAGTCCCCGTCTTTGCTGAAGACTGGATGCGCGTACCAGCCGAACTGCAACGAATCACCAACTCTTTTTAGAGGATAGAAACATCACTGGGGAGTGCTCTAGAAATATGACGGTATAGTGAAATAGACTCAGCCTTGTTTGTGCTTTCAATGCTCTAGAACTTACCACCATTTGCTGCATGCGCTCGGCAGCTTCTACATCACTTGGGTTGTTTTTATCCTTGGGATAATAATAGCTTGAGATCGTTGCGAAGCCAACCTCACCTGCAAAGATGCGTAAGTGTCATTCCGAACTTGACACTAATGAAAACCCTCCCCATCGAATGATCTTTTTTTCGTTTTATCGGCAATGTCAACACTCATTGAGAGTAATTTCTACGCAAAACCTTGGCGCTGTGGATCCAAGGGTTCCCGGTCAATGGCAGGCGCTATAGTGTATTTCGACTAACATAGGAAGAAGAATTATAGAACATAAAGGTTCTTGATTGGCCGAACGCTTACCCCCACTACCGGCTCGACGTAGAGGCGGGAAGCTCTCAGCCAATCAGTAACGTTTATGTTCTACCCTCTCTTCTTCTTCCGTTAGTCGAAATACACTATAAGGGGTCTCCATTGGGAACCGCCTGGGAGCTGGGAGGTAGGCAATTTGCGCCACACCACCCTTGTATGTAGGCAATCCACGGAGCCCCCCGGCCCTTGATAGCCTTGTACCGCGCGTGATCTACAGCAATTTAAGTTTCCGGAAAACTTTCTTTGGGTGCTTTGGGCGCACGCACGCACTACAGAATTCGACAGAATTATGAAGCTCCGCAGGGTGTACCATTATGCGGCCGTACCGAGTTGTGTCTCCTTAAAGTCTCTCTCGTACAGGCGGTAGGCGTACGCGTGCGACTTGAGGACGTTGTGCGCGCACAAGTAGTCGGCTCGACCGCTCCAATGGATCGCTGGTGCTTTGATTGCATCACCGTAGCCCTCCCCACAAATCGACAGCGGTTCGTTGATAGTCAGCCATAGTCGGACCTATTTGCATTTCGACAAAAGTAAGTAAAAGACAGTTCAAGATAATCTCTTTGGCTATGCTATGACTCGGAACTCTCACCTTCGATCCATATTCTTTAAACACAAACTCGGCGTAGTCGACAAAGTAGTTAACCACCACTTCGTTTGTCCATCCCCCCAAATCTTGCAGGGGTTGTGGGAGGTCCCAGTGAAAGATAGTTATCTGAAATCGGTACAAATTATACACTATACTGACATGCCATACTGCTAAATGGCTTACTTCATGATTCGAAGATCTCATAAACAGTGTGAGGTTTGAGTCGCCCTTTGGTTTACCATGGGTGTGATGCCATTGGCGAGGCACTCGTCTATAACATCATGGTAATATTTAACGCCCGGTGCATTCACTTGGTCGATGGCACCCGTGGGCAGGATGCGCGACCAGGACAGGGAAAAACGGTACATCGTAGTCTAAAAAAAGGAGAAAGGTCTTATGCAGCAGCCCCCGCAGCCTTCATTTGTTGGCCGCCATCTTGTGTACCCAAGTTCTACAGGTTCTTACAGGAGATATCAGTTTTCATTTTTTTTAAATGATAGATGTGACCCAAACCTCTGAAATTGTTTTGAGACATGACTATAACTATGAAGCACGTGTCAAAAAATATTCAAGCTTGTGGCTACTTCCCCCATTTAAAAAAAATAATCGAAAACCGATTCCTCCCATAAGAGCCTGGGGAACTTGGGTACACAAGACGGCGCCCAACAAATGCTACGGGCTGGTGCATAAGACATATGGCAGAGGTTCTCCCTTATCAGAGAACAATAGCATCGTCAGCGCCCCTTGTAAACAAATTGTCGCATCGTTAATCTCACAGTGTTTGCGGTCAAAACTGAAACCAAAATGTCGTCGCGTAATTTTGACATGAATGTGACCTTTGTAGTGCAAACGTACCCCGAGCTCCTTGGCTATCCGGATGTCCTCCTTGTACTTGTGGTACGAGTCGCACGCCACGTCCCCGCTGGACTTGTC